AAAAACTGTGAATGATAAAAAAAAACCCTGCAAAAGCAATCCCCCCCCTTCCAATGTTACCTCTCAACTCTTTTCATGATGGAAAATGATTTTCATGGTGGAATATATACTAATGTGATCTCCAAAACATCCTCAACTGAGAAAGCTGTGGGTTTTGTCAAATGAGTTTCAGTCGAACACCTAGACATGCACATGAACGTATCCAACCCTACACACAAATAAAAGCATTTTTTGAGCATAGTTTAAAAAAGAGTTGGAAAAAAGAAATGAGTACATTCCTCCTTTTCAGCCTGACAGAATTAGGTGGTAATTATAATACTCTCCAGAGTAAAGTTGTGGCTGTTTCTTCACATTGAAAGGATCTCTGACCCATGTTAGATCTGTTTGACCTGGTTTGGTCATATAGTCCCATTGATTGAAAAAAAAGTTTTTTTTTCTTTGTCTCTCAAGGCAAAAGAATTAGCAAAGACAGCATCTGATAAGCAGGCAAAACCAAACCTTGGACTAACTAGGGTACATTGATAAAACCTGAGGCACCATGACATGACATTCAATAGGTTTGATACTCATCACTTGGGTCAGAAAATAAAGATAGGCAAGAAAGAACAGTCACTAAACAAACTGACAAAAACCAAAACCAAAAGATATGAACATACACACCCCTTTTGTGCTATACTCCATTATTTTTTATTTCACATAGAAACTATTCAACTGTTCACAGCATTTTCAAATAACCCTTGCAGTCCAAACAAATAACTCATTACAAGAGAAACTTGAACAAATTCAAAATGTGTCTGCTGTAGCAGTCCTAGAACATAACAACAAAGGTGTGTTTCATTAAACAGTTCCAGCAAATCTCTGCATGCATTCAGGCTTTTGTAAAAAGTAATCGGGACTCATGGTAGCAGTGATATCTTTTCTTAGACCAACTGGATTTTTGCAAAAAGAAAAGCCACCTTAATTTTTAAATTTGAGGCTTTTAAAATTTATATTTAAATTTGAGGATCGTGTAGCATTACTGGGTAAATTATTTTTAAGCCCTGAGGGAACAGTTTACTCTCCATAAATTACAATATCTGTTGGAAGCAGACTAAATTAGTGAAGCTGCACTCCCCAGGGAGCTGCAGTTTAAAGACACTCCCTCTGCTTGCCTAATGTGTAACCAAATGTAAGGTTAATGGCACTTCAGCTACAAGGCCAGATCTCTCCTCAGTCCCCAGGCATTCAGCAAACTATCTTAGCAGGGAAAGGATAATTAGGTCAGTATTAGCACATGGGAGGCTGTGATCTTCATCTCAGGTCAGGAAAGAGAAATGGGGGGATATACTTTCTATTCATTCCCATATAGAAATATACATTGCCAGTTAGCTTTGTAGAACCTTAACTCTAGCTCTTAGTTTTTACTCATTTTTTACTATGGAAAAATAACAGCTGCTTTTCTATTGCAAAGAACTCCAAAAGAATGTATAACAGGGAGCTCATAACCCCTGGGTTGTCCATGCATAACACCTGAAACTAGTTTTAAGCACACTTCAGGCAGCTTAAATTAAACCACGGGTTGAGGAGAGAACACTAAATTAAAAGCTTCCTGCATGGGGTTAGTAGCTGGGCAGCTAGAAAGCAGACAGGCCAGAAACAACATGGTAGCAACTACTGTATGACTATCCTGGAGCTAACTGCTCTGCAGCAAGCAGCCAAGGCACAGACATCTAGATAGCCCAGAAGCAAAGAACTGTAAGGAGCTAAGCTAAACTATGAAACAGCAGGGAAGGGCAAGCTGGTCATCAGGCCAAAATAGAAACCCTTATGTGTGGCCGGACAGCCTCCTGATAGGTAGATATAGGACTTTGGGCACCTAAGCCGAGTATCTGAGAGGAGGTGGTCTGGCTCTGCAGACTGAGGGAGCTCCTGAGTGAGATGGTTGCAGGAGATGGACTGACTGGCACCCATCCCAAGCTGTCCAGAGAGAGTGGCAAAGAAAGAACTGAGGAGGATTTAGAGCTTGTGGGGAAGTAATGATGACCCAGTGCAAGGAGGATTACTCTAACCAGAGGACTGGACTGTGGCTATGTGTGGAGGCCACAGAGGGGTGCCTGGTAGGACACTTAGTAGGCAGCCTAGCCTGGGGTCAAGGACCCAGAGGGCTGTGAGCTGGTCTAGTTATAGCAGATGTGATGGGATCAGTGGCTCAGAGGCCTCAAGGCTGAGGCCAAAGCAAGCTTAAACTAAGAGGCCAAAAGCCCGGGGAAGGACTAGGGTCAGAGGCCCAGGGGAAAAGCCTTGCTATGGCTGGGTGCCCAGCAGTCTGACTGGACTGTTCGACGAATGGGGCAAAGGGTCCAGAGGATAACATTGGGCCTTTTTCTACATTAAATTTAGGTGGTTTCTGGAGCTCATATCCCCTGGGCTGTCCACACGTAACACCTGAAATTAGTTTTAAGCACACTTCAGGCAGCTTAAATTAAACCACTCCAGGGCAGGTTTCTCTCTGGCCTATGTTTCCCAGCTCATGTTCCACTAACATGTGAGCTACGCAACCCTCCAGCATCCCAGGATGCAGTACCCCTTCTTGAGCCCTTCTGTTCTGCATGGATAAAATTTCCACCCCCTAAACTCTACTGCCCAGGGGGTGCTTCTGGCACCATGCCATATCCCCTCCTGCCTCTAGGGGTGTGACTTTCTCACCCCCAGGTGTGAAACCCCATGCAAACAGCCTGCAGAGCACATGCCAGACAGCCAGGTCATAGATGGGTCCAGGAGTAGGGTCTAGGGAGCTGGGGGGGAACAAAATAGGGGGCCGGACTGGGTCCCCATGAGCTGGGGCTTCCTTTCTATGGCAGGGGCAGTAGCTCCCCCATAAGTGTCTTCTTCACTGCTCCCACCACCTAGCCACCCTGGGAAACTTGACCCCACCCACCCCATCCCTGCCAGTAGTCCCAGTCTATTAAAATATGAGACCTTCTTTCATCCACTTCCTCTTTATTTCTTTTTAAGTTCTTCTTTTTTTTACTTCACCACCCTTTCCCCACACCCATATCCTTTCCACTTCTCATTTCATTACCTATCCCCATCCCATTAATGCTCCAACTTCATGTTCCTTGCCCCCCCAAGCCATCTTTCACACACCGCCACCTAGAGCAAAAAGAAGCCTGTCTTAACGCACCAGCCCTGTAAAGGCAACTCACAGCTGTAGCTCCTAGCCAGGCTCTTGCTTTCCAGCCCTCTAGTGACAAGCTAAAGCTATGTAGGCTGGGAAACAAAGAAGGTTTTTAGCCTTAAGGCAGGGGTGGACAAAATGCGGACTGGGGGCCGGATGTGGCCCGCCAGGCCATTCTATCTGGCCCGCGGGGCCCCTAAAAAATTTAGAAAATTAATATTTATCTGCCCCTGGCTGCCTGTCATGCAGCCCTAGATGGCTTGCCAAAACTCAGTAAGCGGCCCTCCACCCAAAATAATTGTCCGCCCCTGCCTTAAGGTGTGACTGTTTCACACCTTAACATCTACCTGGCATGGGTGTGGCTACAGGGGTGGAAGAAGACCACAAATATTCCATAAATCAGCTGGTGCCTGGAAGCACCAATAAGGCCAGGAGGGCCACAGCATAGTGTCCAAGGGCCAATGTGGAACTGGACTGAGCTCATTCTGGGGCCCTGAGGGCAGCCTCCCTAATCCTATAAATAACATCAAGGTGTGGCAAGCAGGATATCCCAAGAAGCTGGAGTTGGTGGGGGGTCAAATGTGCACCAGGGAATGTCCTGGCCGCCCCTGGGCTATGATCCTGTCCAACTACAGCAGGTCAGAATATTTTTAACACTGTGATTTTCTATTTGAAATCTTTGGGTATATCTTGTGAATCATAGTTGCCTGCTGAACGGTGCTAACATTATGGGGCACCCTGGAAAGGCTCTTAAGACACTCCAGGGTGCTGGGACACCTTGCTTGAGACTCCCTGCCGTCTTTTGTAACTCCAGTCTCATTCAAATATACCAAACTGTTACCTCCCATCCCTTGTAGCTATTAACAACAGAATCAAAACCTGTATTCTTTCTGCAGATCATTAGTTTCTTCTTATAATTATTTTTCTGCTAATTTGCTCAGTTACCTTGTTCTCTTCAGTTTTTTCACTTTAAAAAACAGAACAAAAACATCCATTTATACCTCCAGGTAAAAAAGACATGGCAAATACCTTCTTTTAAAGCCTGAACAATTGCTGGCAGGCTATGCATTTCCTGTACGCTAGTCTAGAAATGAAATGTACAACTCAGTTAAATTGCAGCCTGAGATCTCGGGAGCAGCAGAACTGATCTATGACTTTTCCCCTAATCAAAACGCCAACTAAAAATGAAGAAGTGGAGTTTTCTGAGCAGGCCCTCAAGGCCAGTGAGGTGGTCCCTGGAGGCTGTGGAGAGAAAGCCTTGAATCTGAAATGCTCACAAGCCATGGTGGGGGGCTACGCGCTGTGCCACCGTGCCTCCCTCAGAAGGTTCAAGCCCCAGGATAATCAGTCCTGGGGGAAGCCTGTTGAACTTGGTGCTAGTTCCTCCTAGCTAGAGGCTGAACAAGGGGCTCGGGCATCTCGGGGGGGGGGGGTCTTTCTGTGTGAATGTAGGACTCGGGCATCACGGGTGTGTGCGCGCACCTCTCAGGCATCATGGGGTATGTGGAAGTGTGTGGTTCAGGCATCATGGGTGTGCGTGTGTGTCAGGTATCACGGTATGTGTGTGCGCGTAGGGCTCACGCATCATAGAGGCGTGTGTGTGTGTGAGACTCCAGGTCCCGGCCCCACAACAC